AGACAGACAGACAGACAGACAGACAGACAGACAGACAGACAGACAGACAGACAGAAACAACAGAGGGAGAGTAAAGATGTAAGACCTTCCAATGGCACCCTTCAACCACCCATTGGGAACGGAAAGAAGAAGAAGAAGGAGAAAAAAGCGAAACATTCGGGTTTCAAACAGCTGCCAACCATGTAATAGCCCAGCATGATACCAACTGAGCTAACATTGAGCCTTGAGGGGTGCAGGGATGGGATAGTATGGAAAAGCACTTACACACACATACGAACACACACACAAACACACACACAAACGCACACACATACACATACACATACACACACACATACACATACACATACGCACACACACATACACACAACCACACATACCCACACTTCCATGCAGACATAAACACACACTAACACACACATACACACACACACACACACACACACACACACACACACACACACACACACATAGTATACACACACACAAACACAAACACACACGCACGCACAGTCATCCTTTCTTTCCTTTCACGCTATTATTTCAGGCGCGATGTATTTGCTGACATCAGCATTATCTGCGTTCACACCGTGTTTCGGCAAAAGTATATCTGACGTCCCCATCACCGACCACACCGTGATCGTTGCAGAAGCCTCCAAACCTCTGCATGACGTGCTGGACTTTGGTGGTTGTGAGTGTGACCCAGACGGCGCTCCGGATGAAAAATGTCTGAAATAGAGTTTCATTGACAAGGAGGGAAAGTGCACACTGCCAGATTTTCCTTCATGGATAGGGCAAAAACTATCATTAATGGCACAATTCGACTGAATTCGGCGACTAAATTCGACCGTTACCTTCAAAATCAGACACGTTTGCTTAATCAATGAATTTGATTGGCAGTATGCACATCTTGAGGATTTTGAAGAAGTCATTATTCTCGTTATCATCATCACAATGTGCCATATCTGAAGCCGTCTTCGACATTCATGGCACGACGCTCATTTTTCTGCTTGGATACCACCCCCCCCCCCACTCCAAGCAAAAAAAACCTTAAAACAAAAAAACAAACAAAAAAAAACACCAATAAATAACAACAAAACAAAATCCCAAAAAACGAAACAGCAAAAACAAACCAACAAAATAAAAAGATAGCACCAACCAACCAACCAACCAACCAACCAACCAACCAACCAACCAACCAACCAACCAACCAACCAACCAACCAACCAACCAACCAACGTTTTACTGGGGTGTGTCCCAGTGACCCATTATTATGTCCAAGTTCTCAAGAAACTACAAAAGTAAAAACACTTTTCTGTCAGGAAAATGGGAAGAGGAGTCAATGATATTTTTCTATTGGATACCTTGACCACCCTACCACAATATGTCGAAGGCCCAGGAAGTTGTCTCACTAACAAGGCAATCCCCAATGTCCGGATCGGATGCGGGGACAACTTTACTTTTTACCTGGATAAAAAGGCAGGCAGTTTTTTGGGGGGGGTGG